ATACAGCTAATAATGTTTGAAAAATCTTTGGTGTAAAAAAAAAATGCATTTATTTTTATTTTGTTTTATTACTATTATTTAATTTTTTAAATACTAAATGAAAATATTAACATCTATTTGATTTCCTATTAATATTTGTATACAAATTAATATATATTTAAATAATGGAAAACATATGCCAAAAATATATATACACAGAAAATTTTGTTTACATATCCGTAAATTGACTTAACTTTTTTACAGCAGACTTTATAAGCTGTGCATATCCGTTGTATTTGAATTCTTTTTTCTTTTTTTCACATAATAATGGTTAATTGAAACATTTAAATATGTTCCCCTCGACATGCATCCATATTATTTAAGCCTTGTGAATATATTTAAATGCTGTCACATTTTGGCTGACGCTGGCTGAGCGATTTTTTGCGGGCGCACAAAAGTATGCAACACTTTTTCGCGTGCACTCCGCTGCTGGCAGATGTCGCCAATATAGCAGTCGTTGTTGTTGTTGTTGCTCGTTGTTGTATGTGTTGCTGTGCATGCATAAGCCATATTCATCCGCCTGTTAGCACTTGCTGACGTCCGCTGTAGTTGCAGTTGCAGTTGCAGCTACTGTAGTTTTTTTTTTTGGTCTGGACAAAGTCCTGCTTGATGTCTGATCATATTTGTTTGTGGCTTTTCGTTGCGGTTGCCGCTTAACAAAAACTGCACACACACACACGGGCACACACGGGCGCAACCACAATTATAATGGCCTGGCCGGCTTTGGCATTTATTGAAGTTCAACTTTTATCAAATTAAATTTGCCGGATTACAGGTATTTAGAGCTGAACTGTCTGCGGTTAGGGCAAACGGGCGAAACAAGTGGCATTAGCGGTTGTAATTGAATTTCAGCTATAAAAGTGCAATGCTCCAGCGTGTTGTTCACTATATTTATTGTTGTTGTTGTTATTGTATTCTGGTATTTTGTTAGCGCTGCGGCTTAATTGAATTTGCAACACATTTGAATAAATAAAAAATGAAGAATGCAAAACAATTGAGACTAGAAAACAATTTGGATTTATATACTCTATACTCTATATTGCAATATTGTTTGTTGTAGTTAAATTAATTGAATGATGGCGACAGCGCTTTGTGTCAGTGTTGGCAAACGTCAAATTGTATAAGTGTCAGCAGCACAAAGTGGATTAAAATTATATATATATAGAAATGCTAAATGCTGTCAGCGAGCGCACTAAAAGGCAACGCCTGAACAGTCTCATATATCCTCCTGAACGCGCCGTTATTCTTCACCACCTAGCTGACCCTGACGGGACTCGTGCTAACGGTCTTAAGTGCACTGCCAATGTGATTTTATTATGCTGCAGGCATAAATTATTTAGCTGAGTGTCTTGAATTACCTGCAGAAAGGCAACTGCCGGCGAGCTGCACCTGCAAAATCACTTCGAGGCAGCTCAATTTGAGCGTAAATTTCGTTTCAACAATAACAGCAACACGAAAGTGAACTGGGAGCCACAGCTTTAATAACAAACACAATTTAAGTGCACATAAAATGGCTGAAATACACCACGCCCCCTTGCTGCTGTCTTCGACACACAAACACACACCCAAGCACTTGGCAGGGAATTATGCACTCCAAGGATACGACTCGCATTTTATGCACTCGCCAGTAAAGTTATTGAGTAATCAGCTTTAAAACTCTCAACTAGCTGCAGCACAAAGGGGTCTGAGTAGGGGCGTGGTAGTTGTTTGTTTCTTTGGCCACACAGCAGTAGCTGGCCGCCGTAGCTGCAGCACACTGCTTGCCCCATAAAATGCGCAAAATGTATGCCCAGGCACGTGGCAGCTGAAAATGATTGCGCGACATGCTTGCTTTATGCTTTTTGGGTGCCACGATTTATGCGGTGCCCACTGCTGCAGCCAAAGCGAAAGCCACAGCCAGAGCCAGAGCCTGAGCTGCAGGCTCTGAGCTAAAGGCCACTGCCTTGTAGCCAACTGCAGCAGGAGCAGCAGCAGGAGCAGCAGCTCCTCTTCTGCTTAGCATATCGCATCGCCAGAAGGCGACGTGACGTATGAGCGTTAATAACTTCCAGCATGTCAGCCTCAAAACTAATCAGCAGCAACAGCAGCAGTAACAGACTGCAAAAGTATTTCATATACTAGTTGCAACTTTGTAACTAATTGCTTATTTTAAATAGATTCCAAATACTCTTTGTTACACTGCAACGGTATTTAGGTGATAGACTCTCTTGGGTAAATAGTATTTGCTCTCGTTGAGTATATTCAATATTGTTGAATAAAATCAAATATTACAAATATTGGTTGCATTGACTAGAAATTTAATTATTTAAT